GTTAAGGCCCTGCGTTCAATCCCCAAAGGCACAATCAATCAATAAAAAAATAAAATAAAATAAAAAATTCTGTGTTTCAAGGGATATTATCAAGCAATTGACAAGACAACCCATAGGATAGGAGAAACTACTTATAAATTATACCTGAAAAGAAGCCTGAATATATAAAGACTTCTTAGAACTCAATAACAAAAAGGCAATCCAATTTCATAAACAGGCAAGGAATCTGAATACACATTTCTCCAAAGGTACAGAAATGGTCAATAAGCACATGAAAAGATGCACAATGTTGTTAGCCAAGAAGCAAATGAAACCTAAACCATTAATGGAACACCATGTCACTCCACTAAGATGGTGAGTATTAAAAAGGCAGACAATAACAAGTGCTGGTGAAGATATGGAGAAATTGGAATCCTCTCCCACTAGGATGGAAATGTAAAATGATGTAGCCACTTTGTCACTTGGTTGTTCCTCAAAAGGTCAAACTCAGAGTTTAAATTAGAGGATCCAGAAATCTCATCCCTAGGTTCATACTCAAAAGAATCAAAAACATACATTTTCACAAAATATCATTCACAAAGACTCGTAGCAGCATTGTCCACAATAGTGAAAAAGTTGAAACTACTCAAACAGCCACCCACTAATGGACAAACAAAATGTGACCCATTCACAGTGCTTGAGAGGATGCATGCCTTGGGAGCCTGACTTCCAAAACAACGAGGCTTAGTGGAAGGTGACTGTGTTATGGGGGCAGAGCCCTCAAAGGATTAATACTGGTATCATGGGAGTGGGTCACTTACTGTGAAAAGGGTTCCTATAAAGCAAGTATATTCCTACTTATTGTTAGAGTTTTATGAGGCAAGAGAAAAGTAAAAGTACAAAACAAACAGATTTATTGAGATGAGGACGTGGAAAGGAGCACACAACCCATGGCGGCTGTGCTGTCTCCTTCCACCGGAATATGGGGGGTATCAGACATATGCAACCTTTGAGCAGGGGTGGCACTTAGGGCGGGCATTGATGATGCACGAGGAGCTCATTGGAATTTTCTGTGCATGCAGACAGGAAGGGAAGTTGCAATTAAGGCTGAGGAAGAAACAGAAAGTGTTAAGCTCCCAATTTGGCCTTCTGCCACATTAGACCACTGCCTAAACATACAGTAATTTATTCTAGGGCAAAACTCTTTCACTTATCCCTTATTCTACTGCAGCATGAAGGCTCTCACCAAATCTTGTTGCTGTGTCCTGGAATAAATTTCTTGGTCAATTACACAATCTATAGTATTCTGTTATAGCAACAGAAAATAGAATAAAACACATGCAGATAGGAGAGTATTCAGCCATATTCTACAAAATGGACAAGAATGAAAACATGCTAAGTGAAAAAAGCCAGTCACAGAAGACCACATACTGTGGGATGTCACCTGCTATGGTTTACATTGGATGTGTGCCCTCACCTCCAAGCCTCAAGTGCTCATACATTGGGGTTTTCACAGGTGACTGGATCTAGGGTGTGTGCATGTACACTATGGGCGTGTGATAACTGGTTAGCCCAATGATTGGATTAGTGTAGTTCTGGGTATGGCTGAACGGATTTACTGAAGACAAAAGATCCACCTTGGGTGTGAGTGGCAACAATTAATAGACTTGTAGCCTGCAAAATAAAAGAGAAAGCAGAAAGAAGGCCGCTGCTTCCAGCCTGCGATACCATGGACTGTCCCTCCTCTGCTGCTCTCCTCTGCCATGCTACTCTACCCTAGAGCCAACCAACCACGGACTGAAATCTCTATAAACTGTGAGCTAAAATAAACCTTTTCTCCTTTAACTAGTGGTTGTCCAGTATTTTGTTCCAGCAATGAGAAATAACATGAAAGACACCATCTAACTATATACGAAACATCAAGAACAGGCCAATCATGCTAAAGTTATAACTCAATGGTACAGCACTTACCTAGCACACATGAGGCTATGGGTTCAGTACAAATGCCAGGAGGGGAAAAAAAGCAAATCTATACATCTGGGGAGCAAAAGAAAAAAATCAAAGATGACTACTAAAGAATAAAAGGGTTGTTTATGGGTAATAAAAATGTTTGAAAATTGACTGTGATGATGATTGTAACTATATGAACATACAAAAAAAAAGCACTGAATCAAATAGCCCATGGATTGCATCACAGTAAAATAGTTTTTTAAAAAGCTTGCAGAGCTTAGAAGACAAAGATGAGAGGCAATGGCAATAGTATTTCATAAAGGATGCTGTGATCATAAATCCTGTTATCACAGTGACGCTGATTAAAGCTAGAGCAAAAAGGCAGAAGAGCCTCTACTTGGATGAGCTCTAAACATAGGCTCATAATGGAAAGCTATAAAATAGGATCAACAATCTTTATCTTGCAATTACAGGAAATAACAAAGTGCTCCTTCCATGCAGGTCTAAGGGGAAATCACAAACTCAGACCAGCCCTGTTTGCAGTGCACAGTTGAAGACAGTGGTGAAGTCATAGTTACAGAAGATTCCTGTTGGGCAAGGCAGGTCACATGATGAGGGTGAACCCTGGGAATGGTCAGGTGGGCGTGAGTCTGGGAGCTCCAAGCAGAAGAGAATCATCATCTCAAGTCGGCACATTAACTGATGGACATCATAAATAGCAATGCTGTACTGACAGAAATGTATGTCTCTCCCCTTGAATACATGTGCATAAAAATAGTTAAAAGACAGCCTTTTAGGTGGTTAGTTGAGATTTGAGGTAGAAAACTGAATTCGTGTGGTCCTGGGAAACTAATCCTAGGACATATCCAGGTAGTTCCTAGAAGCACTATCCCTAATAGGAAAAAGTTCAGAGTCACACAAATGTCTACTCCAGAGAATAAATACAGGGTCCTGGGAGTGGCCTTCTCTTCCTTCTCTCCTCCCTCTGTCCACACCTAGGGACCTGGGGTGCCGGTGGGGTCAGGCTGTCAGTGGTGCTGATGGTCCTCAGTCCTCACTGTTGATTCACTGCACCAACATTGCAGACAGTACAGGTTTGAGCTTCACAGAACCGCTCAGCACAGTCACTTCCTCCAGCACTTGTCTGAGAGGCAAGTATAAGAAAAGTACCAGGCTAGGTACCGTGGGTACCTAGAAAGTTAGAAAGAACTAGAAAGTTAGGGCCACACACTTCGGGTGGGTAGAGGCAGACAGGCAGATGCACAGGGGACTGACAAAAAGGACATCACAAGGTATATGGTTTACAGAAGGGACGCAACAAGTCTGAAAAAAAGAAAAGCTCAGAAGAATTTCTACCCCAAGGATGGATCAGTAGTGACTCTAGATGTCATCTATTGTTGCCCCTTTTATTTCCATCAGACATTAAAGCAACTTCCAAATTCACAGTCCTCTTCCTCTCCCCACCGATTGCACCCTTAGGGTGCAACTATGGGCAAGTAAGTGTTGGCTCACCATCCTTCAGCGCAGCCAAAAGATTCAGCAGGACCAGGAATGAGCCCTTCAAAAAGCAAATCCCACTACTGGCCCCAGCTAAGCGACCTTGGGTAAGCTGACTGGCTTCTGTGAATCTTGGTTTCCGTCCCTTTTCAATCATAATCACTACAGTAGGAAAGCTAACACTTTCAACCTAAGAGGTGTTTGGCACTAACGAGTACCATTATCATTAACGATTAAATAAAAATTTTTAGGAAGCTAGGCCTTGGTATCTCCAACTTCCCCACATGTGTTGGTTGACAAACAAGTCTCCGAGCTCAACTTTTTGAGGAAACCAATGTCATCATCTTCCTCTTTCTGGATCCAGCACCCAACATTCTGCTTTGCATGCACGGGTTGTGCTCATGCTGCCTGGTAACGTACGCAGCAAAAGGTGTTTCATTAGCAAAGGTGCTAAGTTTCTCAGGTAACCCACAGGAACCAGGCGGCCACAGCTGTCTTATTTCCAAGTGGCCTACTACAAAAAGCCACCAAGAGGTGAAACTGGCAATGAAGTTCATAAATTCTACACAGACATGCAACAGGACATACACCCATTTCATTCCTCAGGCTCATTTCTTTCTTAATAGAAATTAATAGAACAAGGATAGGAAATAACTATTCATCTCTCCCTGACCTAATAAATTAAATTTTAAATTGTCTGTCATACATTTTCCCATTGTTCTCTATCTCTGTCAGTAATGGAGGCCTTGATCCTGATTTTAATTACAGACCAGTGCATTAACTGCCCCAGGGAGCTAACCAAAGTAGCATGCTGTTAGAAAAGGTATCTCAGGAGCTTCCTGGAGAACACACAACACAGCCAGAAGCTGTTAGTTCTAGCTCTGATGTGACCTGTACCTGGTATACCACGGAAGACATCTGTTAGGGATTGTACTGTGTATTCCCAAAACTCATGTGTTGATATTCTAATCCCCAGTATCTCAGAATGTGACTGTGTCTAAGGAGAGGATTCTGAGCCAGGAAGATGACAAGTTCAAATCCAGCCTGTCTTAAAAAATAAAAACAAAATTAAAAATAAATGGGCTGTGGACGTAGCTCAGTGTGAAGGCCCAGGGTTCAACCGTCAATATGAAAAAAAAGGAGAGGTAATTAACTCAAAATGATGTCAGCAGGGTAGGTTCTAACACAGTATGATTCCTAGGAAGAGGCTGCAATGTTACAGGATCAGAGGAAGACGAAGGGAAGACACTGGGAGAAAAGGCCATCTTCATGCCCAGGAGAAAGCTCAGAGGAAACTGGAGCTCAGACATTAAGCCTCTGGAATTGTTGAAGCCTACAGAATTATAAGAAAATAGATTTCTGTTCTCTAAACCATCCAGTCTGTGGCATTTTGTTTTGGCAGCCCTAGCAAACTAGTATGAACTCTGTTTTCAGAGTCAAGGAGACCAAAACCTGGTCATAGACAAGAACTGGGGAAAGAGGAAGTAGCTTCTCCATTCCCAGACTCCAGGCAATACTCAACTTAGCATAATCTGCAGAATGAAGCAAATGCATTATGCACCCCACAGTCTTACCACATTTTCTGGTAGCTTGTGTCCAGGGAGATATTTTACATTTTCATGGTCATTATTTATGATGTCTGTCAACTTTCGCCCATTGACTGTTTCTTCAAAGACCCACATCTTGACTGTGGAGGCAAACTTCTGCAGTTTCTTGACATTATTACCAATTATTTTTGCAACAGCTGAACCCCTACAAAAAAAACCACGGGACAGAAAAAAAATAATAAATTAACCTCACTTTGGCCGAAGGAAAAAGGCATTTGATCAAAATTCAAAAGATCTGCGTTTTGATTCTGATTTAAGCTCTCAGATGCTTCAGATGGGAAGTATGTCAAGCCCAAGCCACTTGCAATTTATTTCTCACCGGGAAATATGACCCCTCTGGAATCAGGAAATCCCCAGAATTTAGCATGATGCCAAAACACATCACCCCTTGAAGCCAAGAAGAATAAGCCTATCTTGAAAGTGTCATAGGCAGAAAAGAAATTGATGTAAGAGTGTAAAAATGGTACTAGCAGGGTTTGAAGCCTGCAAGGAAACTAGACTATATTTCAAATCCATCAGAAGATTAAAATGTAGCCACTATAAAATAAACTGCAGAAAGCTCAATGTGGAATCATAATGGCAGACAAGAACCTGAGTGGATTCCCGGAAGGTGCAAAGTCAGAGCCAAAGCTCAGGTCCTTATTATCCAAGGGGGCTTTCATCCACCTCTGGCTTCCTTTCATCTGCATCTGTATTCAGCTAACAAGTTCTGATAATAGGTGAGTCCTCCACAGTCCAAGGAGAAGCAAATGAAACCTAAATAAATTTTCAGAATTTTCAGATGCTTCCTGGCTGCAGGCAGAGGTGAGCTACTAAGCAGCTCTGTCTTGCAAAACCAAAAGCAATCTTCAGATAGGGTTGGGGCCACCTGATCCCAGCTGAGCCAATCAGCTTTCATCTTGGAACCCTGACCTGAGAAATCATTTGTTTCTTTAAAAAACCTTCCTGTTTAGAGTGAATGAAAGGAAAAAAAAAAAAACCTTCCTGGTGGTTGGGTGTGGTGGTGCACACTTTACAATCCCAGCTCTCTGGGAGGCTGAGGTGGGATAATTTCAAATCTGGGCTCAATCTGGGCGATTTAAGACTATTAACTGGGACAGCAAAATGCAACTTTACTTTTCTTCTTTTTCCCCTTTAGAGACAAACAGTCTCCTCCAGCATGACCACCAATCCCTCCTCTCAGCCTAGATGACATGCAGGTGCTGGACATAGGAGGTTGGGGTTTAAGAGATGAAACCAGTTTGGGCTAGTTTGACTGTATTCCCTCCTGCTTTAAGCACTGAGCTTGCCTATTATTGCCTGTATTCCTTTCCCCCATATTCCTTGCTCTAAAGACCTTAGACACAGCAGGACCCAGGGAGATGGTGATTTGAGGCAAATGAGGACCCCCATCTTCTCAGAGCCAGCTCTGAATAAATCCTTATGCCGAAATCCTTTCACCAAAATAAATGGCTTTCTTGACTTAATCAATGGCAACCAAACAAACCCGAGCATATGAATTTAAGTGGGCAGTAACAAGACCCTGTTCCAAACTTAAAAATTAAAAAAGGGGTTGGGAGTGTAGCTCAGTGTGAAGACCCTGGGTTCAATCCCCAATACTGTAAAAACAAACTAACGAACGAACAAACCTTCCTCTTATGAGAAGCACACAAAGAAACATACCTTACAAACTCCAGTTAGGTCATTTGCTGTAAGTATTTTCTAACAATTATTCTCAAGACAGTATGGGATGGGGAAGTGTTAATAGAGAAGAAACTGATACGGAATACGTTAAAGTAAGTATTCTTACTCCCCAGTGAATCTGTTACTCTAATCCAATGCTAATTCATCCTAGCATTTCAATCCTTGTGCTTTAATAGCCACAAAAATCTGAATAATTCTGAACATAGATTAAAATTATATTCTCTTTCCTAAGACAGACCAGAAAACCTAAAGCAGTAGTTCTCAACTTTGGCTTCATATTAATATTACCTGGGAAAGTGAAAAATCTAGTGTCCCAGGCCACATTCCCGACCAATGACCCTGGCACCTCCAGGATATGGTTTTAAAGCTCCCCAGGGACTCAGTGTACAACCAGGCCCGAGAACTGCTGCTCTGCACAGTGATCTAATCAGGGCCTTCCGCCTCACAGAAGAGCAGCTGTAAACGTCAAGCTGGGACATCTGAACCGATTCTGTGCCAGCAGGACACCTATGAAATAAATACCCACAATTCCAATTTCCTTTTGGGGCTCTGTGAACAGAGTCCAGGAATCTCCCCACTATTACTATCACCTTTATTCTAATCTTAGAAACCACTGCTCAGTGCTCAGAGTGAGGTAACAAACCAGCATGTCCTGTTCCCTGGCACCAAGTACATATTGTACACAGGTCAAAGCGAACAAGACTGACCATGAGGGACCGAGCATCAGTTGATGAGTGATATACGACACTATGACTGCGAGTCTAGTAACCAAGTGAGAAAACAAGTCAGACCTAAAAGACTCTCTCCCCATTATCTGGCTAGAATATACTTGCTTTGCCCTTTATAGCTAGCTGCCTGTTATTGTCTAGATGTCCCCCAAAGTCTCATCACTCATGGGGGCACAGTCTTTTTCAGAGGTAGCTGAATCTCGAGTTTGTGATTGATTCCATGGTTCAAAGCTAGAATTAAGGGAGCTGGGATTAACAGTGGGTGACTGCTAGATCAGTCCACTGCCTGGACTGGCACCGCCCTAATCCCAGCTGTCTGGATATGATCAAAGGGACAAAGAAAGGTTTGTTTCCCTCCTCCTTGCTTGCTGCTTTTGCTGTCTGCAGCTCTTAAGAATAAGGGATCAAAGTGCGGGAAGGCAGATGAGGTAGGATATAAGAAATATAGGTTGTCGAAAGGAGGCAAGGAGTGTAATTTATAAATTGTACATTTAAGACTACAATGCCCTAAACTGATTTATGCTCCTTTTTCTCAGGACCATCACAGCTAAACTCCCTTAAAGCTACTGTAAGACTATCAATTAGTTGGTAAGGTAAAGGGCAGAAACCTGACTTTAACAGAAACTGAATCAAAGGTTTCAATGAATGTTTGGGGTAAGATATCTTAGACCATCTGTCTTAAAGAAAAATATAATAGATTGGGCCCATCCCTTTCTCCTGTAAAATGATTCATTATCTTTTTACCAGTAGGTAGGCCATCATTTTTCTCTTGTAAACAAAGTCAACTTTCTATAGGTTCACAAATTCCACAGTTTCCTCCACCAAAAACACATAGATATTGCTAGCTCTAGACTGTCATGTACGGCTCTCTTGAGAGCCTGCATTCTCTTTGGGTATGGACTACTGCGGTGCTGCCTAATAATCCCAATATGCCTCTTTAAAAAAAAAAAAAAAAAAAAGCTTACCACTCCCTTGCAGAGATAAAACAAGGAGAAAAACATTCACAGTCCTGAGTGTGGGATATGATGATGGAAAATGGAAGGATGTGTGGTTAGAAGGGTAAATTGGTGAACCTTAAACACAAAGGAACCAACTGCAACCCAAGTTGGTCCTTGAGTGTCTCCTGAGCCTCTCTTGAGGGAATGACAGACACAGCCCATTGTCAGGGCTGGGTCAGGGCTGGGATGAGCACTGCAACAGAGTTCCCACACAATAGTGTGAGGCACACATGTGCATCTCCAGGCAAGCCAGAACCACCCTGGTGGTCTGGTGACTCCTGAAATATGAAATGCTTGAAAATTACAGCAGCTGAGTTGGGACAGGGTAGGCTATTTTGCATCAACAGCTGACACATGAGCAAATAGGATTCCCTGCAGGTAACTAGAGGTCACTCTACAGTCATCTGGACCCACTGCTGGATTCATCATGCAAGGATTTGAGATGGGGATGGTGGCAAGATTGGGGGAAAGATGATGTAGTCAAGCATGGACCTTTCCATCCCTGAGTCAAGGGCACGAGGTGCTATTTCTACACTTAGCCCAAGTCATCCATCTACAAAATGACAGGAGAGTCAGATGGCCCTGAAGATCCCTTCCAGGTGTTTGGTTAAAACCAGTGTTTTCCCAAAGTACGAACAGATTCCTCCAAAGCTGAGTGCTACCTGAACACAGCCCCAAGTGACACTGACTCTCTTGGGACCTCTTCACTCTCACAGTCCTGAGAGCGTACAGCATGTTTCCGTGAGTGTGAGATGTGTCACCATCTCCCCAGCGTGTGCTAACTTCCCTTCTTCACATTGTGTGAAGAGGCCTCCTCGGTCTCTGAGCCTGGGCAGGTAGGAGTATCTAGCAAGGGTTTTATCACACTGCTGTTTTAATGCTACAGGTCTTGTTATTACCCTCTACTTACAGAATTGACTGCAGCAATCTGAAATTTTGTTTTAAAGTAACTTTAAAGTAAACTTTGAAGAAAATATAGTGAGCAAGTAACTCCTAGTGTGAAGCACAGAGCCAAGTCTGTATGAAAGGGGTCACTCTATCACTCTGAACGACCACCTCTCAAGTCTGGTCCAAACCCAATAGAACACATTTCAGTGGCCCACAGTCTCTTCGGGATGCAGAACCCTTCAAGGTCAGAAAGGGCTCTCCAGTCCTCTCTCCCTTTACTAGGGAAGAGAAGCAGCAAGAGCTCAGTCAAATTCTCCACATTCCATGCACCCTTCTCTCCCATGGTTCCATGGGGCAGGAGAAAAAAGTGGCCAATTTTGGTTTAAATAACATCTACTATTTCTCTTATAAATGCGATATATGGAAATAGAAGCAAGAATTATGAATAATCTCACCACGCAGGCAGAACCACTGTGAACATTTTGTCTAACACTTCGCAGTTAAAGGGCTTTTAAAGTACAATCAAATGCCAAAGAATTAGATGCAAATGTAAAATGAAATATTTTAAAAATAGATTCAACTTGGTGAATGTTCATTTGATCTTTGGATAGAAAGCTTTCTAAGTTTAAAATCAAAAGAAGAAACTACAGAGAAAAAAAGATCAGTGTCAACAACCTCATTTGAAAAGCAGACAGATGAAAAAGGCTTTCCCTCTACTACAGAAGAAAATGCTTACCATAGCGTGATACATTTCACAAAAGGCAAGATGCAGAGTGGTACAAGCCATGAGATCATTTGCAGTTAACAAACGCACAACCTCACAGTCATTAAGGACAGCTACTATCTTC